GATAACAAAAAAGCATACCTTGTACAGTTGCAATGACTCAGAAAAACGTCCACGGTTAAATTCCACAGAAGCCTGTATATGTGACAGGACAAGTTATTGAGATGCAAAGTAGTAGAGAATAAGCTAATACACTGTAAGACTTAGGATGGTAAGAGTACAAGACCCCAAAATTCTGACATACCAGCTAACTCAGAATGTTCGTTTCCTAATTACATATATATATATATGTGCTTCAAGAAACAAAGAAGACATTAATTTCCTAAGCATACATAACTGTACCGAAAATTGTAATTCAAAGTTTTTTCAAGCAACCAAAGTTATATTCCAAGAAACTTGGCAACCATGACTGTTCTTCAAGAAACTAAGGAAAAACGATGCCTTTCCGTTGACCAAAATTGAGAAGATGACGAATATATAATCCAACAATCTAAAAGTCATTAGCTACGTAACATAAAATGAAAATCCAGTATTGATTATACCTGACCCAGAAGAGCAGGAACGTTATCAGAAGCATTATCCAACCCAATCGTAAATGCCTGAAATGCTTGATCTATTTCCCCCTTGGCCAGTAAGAGCTGACCTGTAAACAGACGATCACATTTCAGGATATTATCATCTTGAAGACATTGTACAGGGGATAAACGGAAAACAAAGAGACTGCCTTCTAAAAAAAATATTGATTTACCTTTCCCAACCCAAGTGCTGGGTTCATGCATATTGATCCTTGAAGCTTTGTTGTAGTATTGTGTAGCCAAGATAAAATAATCTTCTTTTTCTTTGTGTTTAGTCTCGGATTTACCAAGGTAGCAGTAATACGCACCTAGAGCGTTCAAGATTGCTATCCTCTCGTACTTAACATCAGCATAGTACTCATCAATATCTTTATAAGAAAAAAAGAGTATTGTTTTCAGTTAAAATTCAATAGACCTATTATAATCTAAACACTTAAAAGAGTAGTATCATCATAGTACCAGAACTTGACCCTTCCTCCAATATTTGACGGAACTGATCAATTTTCCCTTGCTTGAAGTACTCTCTCTTCACCAGAGGAAAATTCAAAAAAAGTGAAATCCAAAATCAGAAGTTATCAATAATCTAATTAAAGAGAGAGCTAAATAGAGTTAAAGAGGAGGACAAACCGCGATGATGAGCCAGAGATCGAGAGGAGCTTGTTCGGCTTTGAGGATATCAAGGATATCGGAGGCGTCACGAGGGAGCTGATCAAGAACAACCCTAACTTCCTCTTCCGAGTTCTGAACGGGTATGTACACACTCGCCATTGCACGCCGCCGAGAAGGGGCGAACCAGAAGCTAAGCCAAATAAGAAAGAAACCCTAGATTTGAGATTTCTCCTTCAGAGTCAATTTTTTTTTGCAGTGTCAATCGAGAGATTAGAATGATTAGCAGAAAATAACTCTCAGTTTTTGGAGTTAAATATTCAGCTTGTTTTTTTCATCTAATGAAATTGATTCCAATTAAAAATACCATAAATCTCTTGTTGTCTTAAAAGAATGGAAAATTTCTCTTCTACCACACTACTTTCAAATTTATTGTTAATAAATGATTAATTTTACAAATACCATAAATTTGTGACCAAATAATATTAAATTATATTTTTAGATATTTATAGAACATTTTTTTAAATCTGACTCTTATCTTTTAACATTAAACTAAAATTTGACATGCGCTTTAAAAATGCGAAATAATTATATTTAATATGTATCAAAAATAATTAATATTGGTCTAAAATATTTGATGTTTGAAGTTTATGATTGAGAAGCTTTTATTTTGACATTTTTAATTTGTTTAGTATGCACCAGCGTTTTCATATCCATATGGACTGTGAGCAAACCAGTAACTTTAATGACCCGTATAAAATATAGTTTGGATTTAGTGTAAATTAATACGTTAATTAAAACTTGATAAAATTGGGTAAAAAACACAACATTATCCCGTGACCCAACACTTGATGATTCACACCAAAAAAAAATCCAATAATATTTCTACAAAAAAAATAATTAATTTTTCATATAATTTTAAATACTAAATAAAATTAATTGTGACTTTTTAGAGTTTGATAAAAAATTAATATGTTGTTCCAAGAAAATGGTTATAGATAAAATCAAGTTTATTGATAAAACACTAGTAGCGTATTTCTGTTATTAATAAGCTATTAAAATTTTGTATTTTCATTTATTTTAGATTTAAAATATAATTTATTTGAATTTTTAATTTATTTATTATCTTAACTTTTAGCCAAAGTTATAATTTGGTTTTAAAAATTAGTTAGGTAATTTAGTTAGGTAATAGATATTTCTGTTATCGGATCCGCTACATCGGTCGTTTTCTCTGTTGTTTTCTCAGTCGTTTTCTTTGTGGTTGTCGTTATATTCTCCAAAGCCGTTGATGAGGGTGGAGAGGCCGTTCTTACAAACTTTCACAGACTTCACCTTCTTCTCTTCTCCTTATGTTAGATTCTCCTTTCTCTTACCCTGTCTCGTTTCCACCATCTTTGGAAGATATCTATCCTCTCTGCTGTATCGTCGGCTCAAAATTCTCACTCCAACGAACTACGATTCGTGAGATGAAAGGATGTGTCATGGTTTGAGTTGAGATTGATTTTGATTTTGGAAACTAAGGTTTGATGAGGGAATAGTTTTGATTTTGATTTTAATGAAGGGAAAATTGACAAAATAACCCTCAACTTTCGAAACTAAGCCCAAAAAATCTCTAACTCACAAACAAGCCATTTTAATCTTCAACTTCTAGTCAAACACGAATAAATCTCATACTTTCGTTAACCAAGCCATTTTAATCTCGTCAAAATTCAACCGGTTGACTTTTAATGAGCCTAAAATGGTTTGGTCAACGAAAGTATGAGATTTTTTTTAACTTAATTTAAAAATTGAAGATTAAAATTGATTATTTGAAAATATCTTAACTAAAATTTATTTTTTAACTGACAGAAGAAAAATATAATTTTTTATATCGATTGTAATCACTAACTTAATAATATATATTTAAATAAGTTTAGATATAATATTTAAAAATAAATTTAAAAAATTATATACATCAACTGCTGGAAATCCCTTTCACGCACTTGAGTTCCTCATTTTCACTTGTTTCATCCTCTATTGAGTATATGCGATTATACTTTTAACAATAATGTGTTTAGGGTTTTACCTTTAACTTTTATGTTTTTATTCTTATTTTTTTTTAACATAAGCACTTAATTATTTTATTTTATATATGGATTTAAAGTATACTTATATTTTTAATCAAATTTTTTACTAAACAATTTTTTTGGTTTTAGTTTATTCAAAAATATTATAACTAAGCTTATATGAACATATTTTATTAAGTTTGTCATTCTAATTGATATGATAAACTACAATTTTTGTTGAACAAAATAAAGAAAAATAGCAATTTTTAAGTTAAGATAAGTGTACAATTTTAATCTTCAACTTTTAAATTAAAATAAAAAAATCTCATATTTTCGTTGACCAAGCCATTTTAGACTCATTAAAAGTCAACCGTTAAATATAACTAACGGAACTAAACGGTTGAATTTTGACGAGATTAAAATGGCTTAGTCAACGAAAGTATGAGATTTATTTTGTTTGACTAGAAATTGAAGATTAAAATGGCTTGTTTGTGAGTTGGAGTTTTTTTTGGCTTATTTTCGAAAGTTGAGGGTTATTTTGTCAATTTTCCCTCTTAATGAATGAGTGAGAGGAAGTTTGCTAAAACCGACATATTTGGTCTGGAGGGATTGATTAAAGTGGTTAGATGTTGGTTAGAGTGGTTCGATGGTTCAAAGATTTCGATTTAATTGGTTTGCCAAAAGATCCGACGAGGATCCGATTGGGATGGATTAGACCCAATACAAGTTGTAACTATTTCAACTCTTTACAGGTTTTATGTCATTTACTTATTATTTGGATTAAAATAATTCAATTAATTTTCTCTATAATTATGTGTCCTTGGAAGATTGGATTTTGACATTTGGGGGTATTGGAGGAGATGTCTCAGCAAAAGAGACTTTTGTCAGTTTATTGGCGTCGCCATTGAAAATTCTGATAGATATCTCTCACAATTCCATAGATTTATTTTACTTACAAGTTGTTATTGATTATTCTAATGAGCGTAGAGTTGTCCGAAAACAGCTTGAGTTTTGTGATCTTAAGGTTCACCGCAGAGATGAGAGCCATTCGGCTTGTGAGGGCTTCAATTATTAGAAGCGAGTTGATCGCTTCCTTGATCCTTTCTTAGCTGATGCGACTTGTAAATCTGAGAAGATCCATGCCAGACCGGCTTTCTTAGAGTGTTTGTCCCATGCTGCATATGTATTGCATGTTGTTGATTGATGGGTCATAGGATTCTGGATTGAAACCGATCTTGCATCAGGTAAATAACTAATGCTTCTCTATTGATTTCCTTAGACAAAGTTCCATTCTCGAGCTAGTCGCAACTTTTTCAACGCTGTTTCTTGTGCAGATTAGAGTCTGCCGTCAAAGATTAGAGTTGTTTCTTGCTGTTCAGAGGGGCCAAGCGATCCAAGGGAGCACGTTACTGAGGATTCTTTATGGTGGTAGGCTGATTGCCTTTCCGGAGGTGTGCAGTTTCTCTAAATTCTATTCATATAGCCATATAATTTTTGACCCAAAACACAACTCAGGTCTAATCTCGAACATGGCCTACTCCTATTCCTAAATCCTTGGTCCTGACCAATAACGCTCAGACAGCTACCTTACTAAGACGAAAGACAGTTTTTTACTGATTGCACGTAAAATTTCAGAAGCAAACGTTTGGGCATCATTAATTGTTTATATACAAAAGAAAAAAGGGAAGGAAAACAATCAGATTTATAAATTCAGGACTCAAATTATGAAATTATTACAAACCCACCCTCAAAACGTAACCATATTACTTGTTTTGCCACAGGTTTAAAGGTAATCGGGTAACAATATATATATTATTATACAGAAACCGGGAATGCCTCACATTTTTCGAAGGTTGTCCAACCTTGCCTGAAGATCACTATCTATTCCACCACCGTCCTCACCTCCGGCCGCCTCAGCTTGCACCACCTTGTTCTTTGCTGCTGGTGCTGCCACCGCACCTGATGGAGCATTCACCAGCTGAAACACCAACAGACCAGTTCAATCAAGTTAAGCATTTTATAGGTGGAAATTGAAAATAAGGAATTGCAATATATAAACTGAAAACTGCTTTTTTTTCACAAAAAGTAACAGATGTTAAAGCTGAAAACAACTGTGGAAGCAGCTCGTTTTGGTTCTTAATCAGTCTGGAATCGATTGGACATCTAAAAGAATAATGTGATACCTCTTGGTTGATATCGATTCCAATCTCGTCAAGGACTTGGCTAACAAGATCTTCAGTCTCTTCCTCTTCCTCATCTCCTTCCAAAGCATCATCAATAGCATCTCCCATCACCTCAGAGACCATCTCCATTTTCTCGTTCTGCCTCTCAAACTCTTGCATGATTTTCTGAAGAGAAGGTAGATTCATCTGCCTGTTCATTTGCCCCATCGCTTTAGTCACACCTTTCATTGCCTCACCCATTGCTTGTGTTGATTTCAGAGTCTGAAATAACCCAAAAATATTAGTTTTTATTTTCACCTTGCAACAACTTGCACCACAAATGTTATTGGAAACGGCACTTTCGGAATAACCAAAACATACCTGGATCCTGAGTGATACACCCTGTAGTTGGGATTTAAGCTTGTAAAACTTCTCAATCTGGTGCCGTGTTCTGATAAGGTCCTTTGCCATCACTTTAACCGCTCCCTGAGTACCAAATCAGTCATAGTCAAATTGTGAATTAGCAACATCTATTGAAACAAAACGTATAAAGCTCATTAAAAAATAAAGCATAAGCCAACCAAACACTTCTCATGTACTCTAATCTTTAGAACAAATTGATATACTCTATTAGTTTCTTCTAGCTTATATACACATCAAGGCACCTACTTTAGCATCACGACATACTAAGGATACAAAAGAAAGACAAACCTTATATACCTACCTATAGATAGCTGTAAAATAGGTTAATAATACAAGAGACAAAACAAACAAACCATCTGTCCCTGCTTTGCGGTCTTTTTAATCTCAGTGATAAGTTTCTTCTCTTGTGATTGAAGGCCTTGTCTCTCCCTCTCAATGTCTCTGATAGACTTATCAAGCATCCTCTTGTTTTCCCGCAGAAGTTCTGCAAAACACCAAACACACAAATTAAAAACCTATTGGTCCCCAAAGGAGGAGAAGATCTCATAAAACAAGAGATCAATCGAAAGCTTTGATGAAAATCCCTATTCACAAAGTACAATTCAATTAGGGATCTGAGACAGGACCTGCAGGAGTTTTTCGCTTTCCGAAGATGGAATTCATCATGATCCAAGATGAATCTCAAAACTCTGCACGGAGATCTAATCAAAACCTTCGATCGGAGTTGACAAAAAAATATCTCTAACTTTGAAACTTTTGGTCAGGAAACGCGGAGAGTGATTCTTTTTCTTTTCCTTCGTGAAGAAAATTTTGTTATATATCAACTATAGCTTACAATCTTTCTCATAATTAACATCATGTATATTTTGGAATAACCCCCTCAATAAGTATTCTTTTCTATTATTTCCTGATAAAATATTACCTTGATTAAAAAATCCACCTAAACACATGACCTCTCTTTGTTAAAAACGATCCTAATTTGAGATGTGTGCAGGCCACCGTTGGACAGTTATCGATATTTGGTTATTAGAGATGGAATTGAGGCGCTTCATCTATGGATGGAATGAAGTGAATAAAGACAGGACTAGACCAGTTGATTATGTAACTCTCTCTGACTTTATCAACAGATGGAACAAAGGGGATAGACGCCACAATACCTATTAATGGGATTATGATGAGTCTGGATAACTTTAGAAATCACTCACACTCTAGATATCTTAACAACTGCGTAGCAAACAAATAATTCTCGCTTTTGATCAATAGTGAAAACCATGGGGTGATTGGTGGGAAAAGGGGTTTTTAATTCCTAAAGTATTTGCAATTAGCACTTTTAATACTCAATTACATCTTGCGCAGATTTAATCCTAAACTATTAATTTTATATGCAAAATTAGATCTGGAAATATTAAACGTTAATTCTCAGTTAGCAGCGTTAACTTTAATTAAAAAAAGAATTATGTCTTCTTGTTGAAACACACAGAAACCCTAAAATAAAGTTTAGGAACGATTCCTATAGAAAATGTGATATCTGGTGAGTGGATATCAATCACGCTATCTCCATTGAGAGGATGGTGAAGACCTTTTTTGGAAACGGAAACCGTGGTCGGCGACGGGATAAAATTCCGATTCGCCGAACGCCACTGCTTGACGGTGAACCTAGTGTTCCAAACCCAAAAGAGAATGAAAAGTAAACATCTAAATTCTATTGAATCATGTTATACTGAATCACGTTTGAGTTCTGTACATTATGTATTATATAAATATGTTTTTATCTTTTAGGTCTATTGGTGAAGAAGATGTGCAAAGCCAGGTTGCAGAAGGAGTTACAGATGTTGTTGTAGAAGAAGAGATAAGTAATGCGGGTACTGAAGGAGTAAAGAATCATGGTGACGTCGAGTTACAGAATGAGAAAGAAAGTGATGAAGCAACAGTAGAGTCGGATGAATCTTCATCAGCCGAAGGAGATGATTGTGAGGTTGTTGTTGAAGATAGAGCTGGATATAAGGAAACAGAGCCAAATTTGCAGTCTGGAGAGGATGCGTTCTTCGAAGTAGAAGTTGGAGAGGCTGAATTTTTTCCTCACTTCGGAGCTGCTGCACGGGAAGATGGAGATGCACATGAAGATGGAGATGTACCACATGATGCTGATGATGACAGTGGTGATGATATTTGGAATGATGATTACATTCCAGATCCTATATCACATGATGATCGTGATGAAGAAGAAGAAGGTAGGCAATTTAACTTCGGGCCTGATGACATTCTTGCGCTAGGGAAGACTTTTAATAACGCTGAGGAATTCAAGTATGCTGTTTTCAAGTACTCTCTGAAGACACAGTATGATATTAAATTCTACAAGTCATCGTCTAATCGGCTTGGTGCCCACTGCACAAAACAAGAAAAAGAAAAATGTCCTTGGAGAGTATATTGTTCTTTTGAGAGAGGTAGAAACAAGTTGTTAGTGAAAGTGTTCAATGAAACTCATATTTGTGTAAGATCAGGCTACACTAAGCTTTTGAAGAGTGGAACAATTGGGCAGCTTTTCGAAGAAAGACTTAGAATTAATCCTAAGATAAAGTCACAGGAGATGGTGGATGAGATAAAGAGAGAGTACAATATGATTGTGTCACTGGAACAATGTCGACGAGCCAAGTCAGTGCTTTCAGCGAGAAGAAAGGCAGGACATGAAGCTCACTTTTCTCGACTTTGGGATTACCAAGAGGAGGTTATTAAATCAAATGTGGGATCAACAATGGAGATTGAGACGATTCCTGGACCAGTGCCTGGAAGCATGCAGAGATTCTATCGTCTATATGTCTGTTTTGAAGCCTTGAAATCTTCTTGGAGGCAGTCATGTAGGCCGATCATTGGATTAGATGCTGCATTTATGAAGTGGGATATAAAAGGGCAAATGCTGGCTGCAGTTGGAAGGGATGGAGATAATAGAATATTTCCTATTGCTTGGGCTGTGGTTGAAGTGGAGGACAATCCTAATTGGCTATGGTTTGTGCAACTCTTGAAAAAAGATTTGGGGCTTGAAGATGGATCAAATTGTACAATAATCTCAGACAAACATAGGGTGAGTCTTTGTTATATATATATATATATATATATATATATATTTTTTTTTTTTTTGAATGTTGCTGGAGTAGTTTTTACTTATGGATATGCTTTACTTGGCAGGGTATACTAAATGCGGTTCATGAAGAGCTTCCTAAAGCCGAGCATAGGATGTGTGCTCGACACATTCTTGAGAATTGGAAGAAAACAAACAAAGACATACAGCTTGAGCGTCTATTCTGGAAAATAGCAAGGAGTTACACACCATCATCGTTTAGAGATAACTTAGAGGCACTGAAAAAGTACAATGTCGGAGCATATGAGTCTCTACAAAGTACTGCTCCAACAACATGGTCTCGGGCGTTCTTTAAGCTTGGATCATGTTGCAACGACAATCTAAACAACTTATCTGAGTCATTCAATAGGAGTGTTAGAGAGTCAAGGAGGAAGCCGCTTCTTGACATGTTAACAGAGGTTAGGAGAAAGACTATGGTCAGGAATGCAAAGAGAACTTTGTTAACTAATAGGTGGAATAAGAGGTTCACACCAAGAGCAGACAAGGAGATTGAGCTTAATAGGCAGAAAGCAAAAGATTGCATCAGGTATATGACCACATGACATACACATGAAATAGAGTTTGACGGTGATGCGTACACCGTGAATATGGAGGAGAAAACTTGCGGTTGTGGCTACTGGCAGTTGAATGGACTACCTTGTATGCATGCTATGTGTGTCATTACAACAACACGGCTGAATCTTAATAATTATGTGTCAGATTACTACCTCACCTCAACATGGCGGCAACTCTATTCTACTGGTATGAAACCGGTGCAAGGCATGAAATTGTGGCAGCATTTAGGTCGGTTGCCCATTCTACCTTCTCCTTCAAGATTCAATCGTGGAAGGCCTAATACATATGCTAGGAAGAAAGGTCCTCATGAATCAGCTACTAACCCACATAAGCTAACACGACATGGTCGTGTGGGGACATGCTCAAATTGTCGCAAAGAAGGTCACAACAAGACAAGGTGTCCTAACGCCGCTGCTGCTCCTCCACCTAAGCGTCCAAGAGGTCGTCCAAGGAAAACACAGGTTGTTTTTCTCATTTAACCTCTTATTTGATTGTCTTGTCATGTTAAACTTTGGATTGATTATTGTAGGGAGAGCCTTCACATTTCGGAGATAGATCTTCTCAAGCTTCTCAACCTTCTCAAGAACAAAGAGGATTTGGCTTCTCTTCCTAATTTGTATTTTCACATTTCACTCCGGATTATTTGTAAAACTTCTTAACTTAGTTTTTGTTAAAACTCATGCAAGTCTGAGATTTTTCTTGGTTCTAGCTTTAAACATGAATCATATTTTCTTACAAAACCTCAATGCTAATTTAAGTTCTTACATTTCCAAAAGAACTTCATGTTCTCATCTTAAGACCAACATTGTTCAAGGCGTTTCTTCTTAACGTTTCCGTCATCACTCTCATTTAATGATTTGTCAACTTCAGGAATTCTTGCAAAAGAACATAAGACCTGATATTATCACAGTCATGTTTATTGGAAATTTCATTGGAGTGTGTGCTTGTTCTCTGCATTTCCAATTCTATTCATGGTACAGAGGGGAAAAAACAGCTTATTGTTATTATTTTTTGTTGACATTTATGCTGAATCCAAACCTCAAAAGTGGAATACTTCTATTATCATATTCATAACACGATCAAAGACACAAAAAACACAGGTGAACCTAGAGGACAAAAATATCATGATCATTGTCTCAGACTATATTACATTCTTTCATCTTATAATAAATCATAGAGGACAGATGAAATGTTATCTCTAGATGAACAAGAAATCATCTTCTTCATCCTCAGTCACCGGAAATTGCCTATTCTCGCCAGAAGTTACGTTTATTCGCCGAGAATCGCCTTCAGCTCTTTCAAATCACTTTCAGAGTTGATTTTAGGGATTTCTAGATTTTCAAAGACTAAACCGATCCCCTTCTGAATTAGAGTTAACGCCACTAACGATAGATTAACGTTTAATTTTGTTTAGTCTGATTTTGCATAGTTAATAAGAAGATCGGGATTAAATCTACGCAAGTTAGAGTTGGGTATTAAAAGTGCTAATTGCAAATACTTCAGGAATTAAAAACCCCTTTTCCCGGTGATTGGTTGGGATTTAACTTAACACTTTAGCTTTATTTTTTTAAATCACTAATTCTTATCAATCATCAGGGCCGGCTCTGAGATTTCGTGGCCCCAAGGCGATATTTTAACAATTTTAACTAAAAATTTGTTTTTACCAGATTTGGGAGCCTAAATTTTTTTTTTCGGGGGCCTATATACATACCATTTTTTCTAAAAAATTTGGGGGTCCAAAATGAATGTTTCACCCGGCTCTGCCAATCATGTTGTAGCTTAAGTTTTCAAAATTAAAATCTACAACAAAACTTAAAAACCTTTTACCAATCAGAATGTAGCTTTATTTTTTTAAGATATAGCAAAAAAGATAGAACTTTAATTTTTCTATTTGTTTTAGACAAAAATTTTACATCCTTATTATTTGGGCTGTAGAAAAAATAATCTCATAACTGAAAAAAAAGTACTTGCTCTT